GCTTGCCAGTAGAGGGTCCGGCACAGTCCGTCACCCCAGGCAGCTTATGCATATGCTGGTGGTTGCAATTGCTGCGTCAGTTCTGATTCCAACCCTGTGTTCCACATGAACCAATCTAGTAAGAATGCCAGATGATCTTTTCAACACTCTTAACTGGGCTTAGAACAAAGTATGGACTCCACCTGTGTGATAACACCAGAATCACTGCTGTTCTGATCCAAACTGCCTTTTTCTATCTTTTTTCCTTTGTTTGATAATCTAGGTTTGTGTATCTTTAAACAGTTTCTTCCCAGAGATCTGACAAAGCTGATTTTAACTTTTGGAGGCCAATTTTGTTGTAGTATTATTACAAAGGAGAAGTTTGCAATTTCTTCATCCACCATTTTGCTGAGGTCGTAATGCTGTTATACAATTCGATGCATAATGTCTTAACCAAAGAGCCAAAAGGGACCAGATGATTACAATCATCCAGAATCAAAAGTGTGTAATTGTGGCTTGAGGTATTCTCTGCACTCTTGTGGACTTCAGTGTCCTGTACACACATCTAGCTGAGCTACACAGGATGCTGTGCATTCTCTCCTCTTACATGCATAAGCACAAACGTCACTATCTATCTGCAGGACAGGGAGTTCTTCAGTAACATGATTAAAACTCTGACATTTATTACTGATCCTGATTACAAGCTTTCTGGGTACATGTACAGTGCTACAAGGGAAAAATTCCACATGTGATGGATGTGAAATCCACATGGGGTGGATGAAACAAAGGTTCACTAAAATTATTGTATAACATCGAATTCAGTCTGTATGTGTACGTAACACCTCCAAATTGTGCTTTTAGACTGGGTTCCATCCAAGATATCACAGTATGTGCACAAAGATTTTCCAAAATTTGAAATCCAAAGCACTTCTTAAGTATTTCAGATAAGAGATATTAAACTCAATCTGAGCTCTAACATTAGCCCTGATCCCATGCTAACAAAATAACTAAATTATCTTTTTGTGAAATATATAATGACAGCTCATACAGTATGGAAGTACAGAAATATTTAAATAAAATAACACATACCAGCAATCGTCTAATAGAACATGATCAGGTTTCTTCACTCCTGTATTTTCCTTACAGATTCACTGTAAGAGTACCCCAAAAACAATGTACAATTTTAACACTTCATAATGTCTATAAATGGAATCACACTACTGTGATATTTTTCTCAACATTATGTACTTAACAAGCTTTCATGTCATAGTGTCATACAGTATGACAGATATAAGGACATTTAACACTAGTAAAGATAGGACAGAACTTACTAAGACAATTAATAATTTGTGAGAGTATTTTCCTCGTAATGGCAGGAGAAAAAAAAGTTGAGCCAATTTCTAGTGTACATTTTCTTTTTTTTTTTTTAAAGATTTATTTTTTATTTTTTTTTTTTTATTGGAAAGGCGGATGTACAGAGAGGAGAGACAGAGAGGAAGATCTTCCGTCTGATGATTCACTCCCCAAGTGAGCACAACGGCCGATGCTATGCCGATCCGAAGCCAGGAGCCTCTTCTGGGTCTCCCACATGGGTGCAGGGTCCCAAAGCTTTGGGCCATCCTCGACTGCTTTCCCGGGCCACAGGCAGGGAGCTGGAAGGGAAGCGGGGCTGCCAGGATAGAACCGGCGCCCATATGGGATCCCAGGCGTGCAAGGCGAGGACCTTAACCACTTGCGCCACCGCGCCGGGCCCTAGTGTACATTTTCAAAAGTCAATTTTCAGAAGCCGTGTAGAAGTTAAACAACCTCTATGAAAGAATATTATTTTAAAAAGAAATATGAGGGCCCAGTGCAATAGCCTAGTGGTTAAGGTCCTCGCCTGGCATGCCTGGGATCCCATATGTGCGCCGGTTCTAATCCCGGCAGCTCCACTTCCCATCCAGCTCCCTGCCTGTGGCCTGGGAAAGCAGTTGAGGATGGCCCAAAGCCTTGGGACCCTGCACCTGTGTGGGAGACCCAGAAGAGGCTCCTGACTCCTGGCTTTGGATTGGCTCAGCTCCAGCCGTTGCAGTCAATTAGGGAGTGAACCATAGGATGGAAGATCTTCCTCTGTCTCTCCTCTCTGATTATCTGACTTTTCAATCAAAATAAATAATCTTGTTTTTTTAAAAGAAATACGTGGAATGCTACTGAGTTTTCAGTAAGAGATGGATAGAGAACAAGTCAGTGGATTTGACAACATGCAATACTTAAAAGATGTTATCAGCTTAGTACTGATGTTGTTGAAACAATGAAAACATGCGAGGATACTTTACAAAGACTGAATAGGAAATATGGAAATAGATAAATGACATGTGTAAAAAACACTAAACATAAAGCAGAGAAATGAAGCTGTTATGATTTGACATGTGGACAGTTTTTTAAAAATTGCAAACATTACAGCATTCTTTATGTCTTTAAGAATAATCATAGATAAAGGAAATTAGTGATAAAGCAGATAAAAGAATAACCCAGAGTGAAGAGCGGGTGAGATGACAAGAGACAAGGGGAACAGGATGCAAAGTATGGAAACAGCTTGTCACAGGAACACAGACGTCACCTTGAATTTAACAGGAACAAGATAGAGGAGATGAGCATGGAAGAGGAGGGCAGGAAAATGAGGCAGATAAACTAATAATTTGCATTTTCTCAGTAAGTTTGGGGACAGTAAGAATGGGGGGGGGGGAACAGTCATGTTCAAAAGCCAGAAAATGAGTATGCCAAAGAGCCCGAACAGAACACCGGAGTGCAGAGGAGGCAGGACCTATTTAAATGGTGACCGAGTTTAAAATAAAAAAGTAAAAACCGGTCCATTCGTGCACTTTTTCTCAGGTAACAATCCCCCTCTAAAATACAAAGAAAAATAAACTGAAAAGTTTAAGCAGAGAAGGGTTTTACCAGGTAAAATTATTTTCGCTCTGAAGAAGGGCTGTACTGTTCAAGGTTATATTTCTGTTAAATCAAAATTCTCAAATGGTAACCTATGAAGTATACAGCAAAGCGAATGGTTTACATCTGTTATTAACTTGGTTTTCAAGTGTGTAAGACATCACTTTCTTCCTACTTACCTGAATTACATACAGTCATACATCAGTTACTGAGACACATTTTCATAAATGCTTTGTGAGGCAACTATGTCACTATGTGATATTATAGAGTGTTTTTCACATAAACCTAGATAAAATTGTCCATCACATACCTAGGCTAGATGGTCTCTTATTGGTAACATTAGCAGTGGATTATATATGTTCAGGAGCCACGCTGAAAAGGAAAACATGAGACTGAATTAGGCACAATAAACGATGCAACACAAATGCAGTAAAAATGACACAAAAAGGTTTCTGCTAGTATAACTTAACATACTGTTTCTACAGTGAATAACTGCAAAATAAATAGTACAGTGCCAGGTTCGTGAGCCACAGGGATGGGGATATTCCAGCAGGGCCTGGGTACTTAGGCCTGCCTGCGAGGTGGGTACCAGGTCCATGAGCCCCAGAGGCAGGTGTTCCGGTAGGGCCTATGTCACCTGGCCTAGTTCCTTCAGCTTGTATGAGTGGTGGAAGGTCTGGTGAGGCTTAGTTCGCCTGGCTTGGGAACCCTGTGCCCACTGGCAAGGTGGATGTTGAGTCTGTGAGCCCTAGCAGCAGTGGATCTGGCAGGGGTGGTGGATTTGGTTGGGCCCAGGTCGCCCGGCCCAAGTTTCTTGGCCTGCCTGTGAGGTGGGTACCAGTTTCATGAGCCCCGGTGGGCCCAGGTTGCTTGGCCCCAGGTCCTTGGCCAGCCTGCAAGGTGGGTACTAAGTCTGTAAGTCCTGGGGGTCAGGGATCCAGTGGGGCCTGGGTCACCTGGACTGGGTCCTTGGGCCTGCCAGCAAGATGGTGCCAGGACCATAAGCCCTGGGGGACAGGTGCTCCTGAGGGGCTAAGTCACAGGACCTGGGTCGCCTAGCGGCCCAAATCCTTGGCTCCGCCTGTAAAAACACATCCTCCTCAGTGGAAAAGATGGAGCAGTGGATGGCAGGCCCTGATGCACATGGAGAATATGGCAGTCCATTGGTTACCACAGCAGAAGAACAGAATAAACTGGACAACTACCCCAGCCAAACGATGACAGCAAAAATCTGGGTGAATGGAGACTTAAGGTCAACTATGTCAGCCAATGGACACTGGGAGGGCTTCCTCATCCTTGGATCAGCGAAATCGACAGCATTTCAGAACTATCCAAACCACTTGGGCAGAACCCTAGGAGAATGCACCACATCGGGACCCCTGGTGGATAGGAATCCCGGGCACTGGGGCAATTGGGAAGCTATGTGTGACTTCTCCCTTATCTCTCCCTTTCCTCCAGAAACAGAAAGAAATAAAAAATTTGGAAACAATGATCACACCCACTTTTCCCCAACTCTTGATCCTCCCCACCCTGATCAACTATGTAAATATCATCGAGAATTTTTTAAAATGTACACTGTAAAATAATAAAACCATAGTAATAGACCAGTAACATCACTGAATATCAAGCATAGGTACTGTATTTAATTGTACAGGTAATGCTTTTACACAACAAACACCATAGCAGGTATATTCACACCATTATCACCATAAGACATCATATATAACATTACAATGTTCTGAGGGTATAGGAATTTTTCAACTCCGTTATACTTGCAAGCAAGCACCATCATATAATAAGTCCAACGTTGACCAACACATTGGCAAGAGGCACATGATAGTGGTTTCTTTTCCTACGCACATGTTTGCCAAAATCATCTTAATGAAAGTGTAAGGAAACTTAAAAAAAAAAACACAAAAAAACACTGCAAAGACTGCTACTATAGAAATAGTTTAATCTTTTATTTAAGAAAATGAGGTAATTAGTAAAATACATTATTGCATAGAAAACAAAGAACTGCATTAATGGTAAAGTGTCAACATCGTTTTCACAGTAGAAATAAATTATGTAAGATTTAAATAACATTTTATTTATATATCTTTTATATGCCTTATTTAATCTTCGAAGGAAAAGGAATAAAAATATAGTTTTGTACAAGAATAGATGAAACATCATCAATCATTCTCACTCTAAAAGAATCACAGTAGGTATAAACAAGTGTAAGCTTCAGGCATGTTAATAAACTATGTTCTACAAACACAAATTTGATATGTCAAATCTATAAGTATCAATTTTATTACTTTACAAAATTTTTGAACTAGTTAACTTTTTCTTTTGTGCCTTGGTTTTCTCAATTCATAGCTTAAAAACTACCTCTTTTCTCTACCAAAAATCAAGATTTTTGGGGGGAGGACTAGTAAGAACAGTTTTGAAAACCTTAACAAAATAAAACCACATCAAACCCATGCAGTTGTTAACAACTACAGTGATTCTGAATGTTCATCAGTTTACAGGAACCTAGTATATATTTCCTGGATTAAAAACCTAAGCTTCTAATCATAAAGTGATGTCAAAGAAAGTAAACTGTGGATTAAGCTGATTTTATCAGTACACAAATATGCTTCTACTGAAAAGTTCTACACAGTCCAGTCTGCAAATGTGCACTTACAGTTAACAAAAGCGTTGAAAAGAAAACCCCTTCTCAAGTTACAGCCTGGGTCACCCTTCTGGAGGCAAATTCACTGCCTACTAGCAACTGCTCCTCCGGCAGTCAATGTTTGTTGCTGGATGGATGTAGAGTGCACACTGTTCAGCCAACACCTGTTCTTAAACATGCATCTCCCGACCTGACACTCAAAGCAAGGTCCGGCTTTCCTCCAGGGCATCCACAGGCATCCACACTGTATTTAAATGACTTCACTGCTTTTTTCCTTTTTGCTAACTGTATATTTACAATTACACATAAACACATAGTCAATTACAAAAACAGTAAGTAGATGCCCGGCTGGGTACACCAGCAGCACAAACTACTGTCTCTTTTCCTTTCTTCTAACACTTTGAGACAGTTCTGGAGAAAAAGATACAGGTAACATTCCAAAAAGTCATGAAGTCAACTTACATCAATACCTAAAAAGAAAGGAAATGAATCTTTGGATAAAGAGACATTTATTGGATCATAACCTCAAGCTAATTCTTAACCTCACACAATTTTTAGATGCTATCAACTAAAAACTAGTTTTGTAAAAAAAAAAAATTAGCCAAATCTCTCAGTCCTCTTCTCCCATATATTTGTGTTCCAGAGTTGATGGAAATTACAGAGCTAGAAATGCAGCCTACAATAGAGCACTTCTATGAAGCTGAAAGGGGGCAATATGAACTCAGGCCAGCATCATGCTTACTTTCAGGTTAGTGAATGCAAAGGGCATTATTTTAATCTACAATCTCATGACACAAAGAAAATTCTATCAAATGTAAATGATAAGTCTTCTAAAACAACGGCAGTCTTCAGTGTCTTAGGAATGTGACAGCGTGCCAACAGAACAAACAAGACAATCAGGAGAGAAGTGTTTGCACTTGCTGTGGTGATCGGTGTAGGATGGTCTCTGGATCTTTGTACTCATTGATGGGATTCAACACGGCTGCATACACTTCACCATAGGCTCTGCAGATCAGTTCTGTGGACTGTTTTATAATCTGCTCTCTAATGACAAACAAACAATCATGAACACATAATCTGAAAGAATGTTCCCAAGAATAAGAAAACTCATTGCAATGCATTCCACACAACATGAAAGCTTCAGAGTCAATGCATTTCATCTTTAAATTATCACATAAATTAACATTTATGACTAAATTCCCAATACTTGATTGGTCCCAGAGGGTAAGAATTGTGTCTTTCACTGTTGCATACTTAGGGCAAGCACTTTGTATGTATATATATAAATGCTATATATATATATATATAGCATTGTCAAACAAGAAAACACAAACTGTATGCACATTCAATGTTTCCTTTATTTTCCTGAAAGAAAAAAGCTTACAATTATTCATATATCAGAACACAACTTGTCTCCAAAACATTTGTAATACACTGTCTTTTACCTACAAATCCGACAATAACAGCCACATCCCCTAGATTTCTCTTAATCTGTGGATCACCTGGATAAAATGTGGTATCTGCCTACAGCAAACTATAGTATTCTCATAAAGAAAAACTTTTTGCAAAAGTATGTGAAAAAATAAGAAGTTAGGACTTACAAATGTTTTAAAAATATTCAGCCAGGATAAGAGCATTTGGTTCATTAAATCTGCATCAACTTTCTCATGTTTTCATGCTATCTAATTCCTGTCATCAGTCACTTGCATTATTCATACATACTCATAAGAATACTTTCTCCTTATCCTCACCAGTATTTTTTACTGTTTAATTTTTGGATATTGCCATCCTAACTGGACTGAGGGGAAACTTCATTGTGGCTTTGACTTGCATTTTTCTAATGGTTAGTTATTCTGAGTATTTTTTCATGTGTCTTCAGTGATGTGAATTTCATTCTTTGAAAATTGCCTGTTTGGGGCTGGCATTGTGGTATAGCAAGTTAAATTACTACCGCAGCATGAACATAAGGTATAAGTATTGGTTCAAGTCTCAGCTGCTCCACCTTCCAACTCAGCTACATGCTGATGTACCTCGGAAAGCAGCAAAAGATGGCCAAAGTACTTGGATTCCTGCACCTGCCTGGGAGACCCACAGGAAGTTTCTGGATTCTGGATTCATCCTAACCCAGGCTTAGCTGCTTTAATAGCCATTTGGGGAGTGAAGTAGCATATTGAAGGCCTATGTCTGTCTGTCTCTCTGTAACTGCTCTTCAAATAAACATAAAAAAATTTTTTTAACTTAAAAAAAAGAAAAGAAAAAAATGCCTCTTCATATGCTTTGGTGTACTCTTTACTGGATTGGCGGCTGTGATGTTCAGTTGTTGAGCTCCTTCTGGATATTAATCACTTACAAGATAGATAAATTGCAAATATTCTGTCAGCTGCCCTTTCACTTTGCTGAGTGTTTCCTTTGCTGTGTAGAAGTTTCTTAGCTTGATATAACTCCACTTGTCTGTCTTTACTTTCATTGCCTGTGCTTCTGAGATCTTATCCAGGAAGTCCTTCCCTGTGTCAACAGCTTGCACTGATTTTCCTGTTTCCCTCTAGTAATTCAGCGCTTGCAGATCTTAGCTTTAGAAAACTGATCCATTTTGAATTAATTTTTTGCATAGGGTGCCTTATTTCACGAGACTTATAAACATGGAAATCAAATCTTTCTAGTACTGTTTCTTAAACAGTCTGTTCTTCAGGGAGTGAATTTAGATCCTTTGTTAGATCAGTTGGGTTTTGATACATGGATTAGTTTCTGGGGTTTCTGATCTGTTCCACTGGTATACATGTTTATTTCTGTGCCATTGCTAGGTGGTTTTAATTACAACTGCCTGCAGCTTGTCATGAAACCTGAAATTGTAATGCCTCTGATGTGTTTTTATAATCCAAGATTGTTTTAGCTATTTGTAATCTCTTATGTCTCCACACAAATTTTAGAATCTTTTTCTAGATCTGAGAATATCTTTTGTATTTTAATAGGGATTGAGCTGAATCCGTAAACTGCTTTAGGCATAAAGGGCATTTTACTGGTATTCCATCTTCCTGCTAATCCAAACTGAAGGAGCCGGCAGTGATTAATCAAATGATTGAATTCCTGTCATTTATGTGGGAGTTCTGGACACCAGGTCCACCCAGCATAGTCCAGTCCTGGCTAGTGAAGATATCTGGAAGGTGACACACTGACAGGACCTGTCTGTCTTTCAATTAAACATTTTACTTATGATGGTTAAAGGCCCAGCAGTAGGATGCTGCCTGTGATACCACAATCAGATACGGGCTCTGGCTTGAGTCACAGTTGATCCACTTTCATCGCAGCTAACTGCTAATAGTCTGAGACAATCAGCAGACGATGGCTGCAGCTGAGCCCCTGGACTCACTCGAGGCACCAGGAAGAAGTTCCTGGCTCCTGGCCTCAGCTTTGGCCAGAGTTGACCACTGTGACTATTGGGAGAATGAACCAGCATATGGAAAATTTCTCTAATTTCATCTAAAATAAATCTTTTTAAAAATTCTTAGGATTACAAAAATATATGATGTTCACAATGTAGTTGCTTGCAAAACTTCAAGTAACATCCTTTAAAATCCAGTATGTTCTGAATGTGGTAACTGAATATTTTGTGAATCTGTGAGGAAGAAAAAAGGATCCTTCAAATCAATGGAGTCTTATTCTTTCCCTTTTTCCATGAGTTAGTAGTTATTTAATGGTCAATAGTATACTTACAATCGACCAATCTAACATATAGTATTTTCGGGAACTTGGATCCATAAATAATTATTTAAAAGAAGCGTTTCAGTTATTTCTACATAAATATGTTTGTACAGTTAGAAAATGTTTTATTATGCACATTCACTCTTTATCTTTTAAAAATCTGTTGGTATATATATGTGCTATTGATATTTCTGTATTGACTTTATATCTTGCAATCTTGCCAAACTCTTTTGATAGCATTACTGGAGAATTTTGGTTTCCCAATGTATAAATCATGTCACCTCCTCTTTTCCTCTTTGTAGATCTTTGATTTCTTTTTCTTCTCTAATGGTTACGGCTAAAACTTCAAGAAATATTCAGAAGAGTAATGGTGAAGAGTGGACATCCCTCTCTGGTTCTAGAACTTAGTAGAAATGTTTCCAACTTTGCAACTTTGTCCATTCAATGTCATGCTGGCTGTGTTTCTTTATAGTTTTCCTTGTTTGTAGTGAGATAAGTTCCCTCCACATTCACATTCAAGCTGCTCAAGTCCTTTTTTTTTTTTAAGAGTTATTTTACTTTTATTGGAAAGTCAGATATACATAGAGGAGGAGAGACAAAGAGGAAGATCTTCTGTCCGATGGTTCACTCCTCAAGTAGCCACAACGGGCTGATCCAAAGCCAGGAGCCAGGAGATTCCTCTGGGTCTCCCACGTGGGTGCAGAGTCCCAAGGCTTTGGGCTGTCTTCGACTGTTTTCCCAGCCATAGGCAGGGAGCTGGACGGGAAGCATGCTGCCAGGATTAGAACCAGCGACCATATGGGATCCTGGTATGTTCAAGGCGAGGACTTTAGCTACTAGGCTAATGTGCCATTATTTTATCAAATGTTTTCTCTGCACTTACAATAGTCACACGGTTTTTATGCGTTATTGTTTCAGGTTTAGGGATATGCAGGGACTGAACCACTACTGTATCCTAGGGGGAAAAATCCATTTGCTAAAGGTAGATAACTCTTTTTAATGTTGGATTCAATTATCAACCTTTTTCTTGATTTCTTAATTTCAGCATTTGTGCTCATCAGAGATATGTTCACCAAAGGGAACTCTCTTTGCTCTAATTTTTCCTGGTTTCATATTTAAAGTAATAATAACTTCATCAAAGAACTTTGAGAGGATTGCCTCCTTTTCAATTATTTTAAATACTTTAAGAATTGAGATTGGGGGGCCTGGCGCAGTGGCGCAGTGGTTAAGGTCCTCGCCTTGCACACCCAGGATCCCAATATGAGCGCTGGTTCTAATCCCGGCAGCCCCGCTTCCCATCCAGCTCCCTGCCTGTGGCTTGGGAAAGCAGTCCAGGACGGCCCAAGGCTTTGGGACCCTGCACCCACGTGGGAGACCCGGAAGAAGTTCCTGGATCCTGGCTTCGGATCGGCATAGCATCGGCCGTTGCGCTCACTTGGGGAGTGAATCATTGGACGGAAGATCTTCCTCTCTGTCTCTCCTCCTCTCTGTATATCCACCTTTCCAATAAAAATAAAATAACAATTAAAAAAAAAAAAGAATTGAGATTGGGTCTTTGCAAGTTTTGGTAGAATTCAGCAGATAAGCTATACAGTCCTGAACTTTCCTTGTCGGGAGGTTTTTGATGACACAATCTCCTTGAACTTACTGATCTGCTTAGGTCTTCTGTCTTCGTGCCTCAAATAATTGAATTTAATTTTTCCAGAAATTATTCATTTCTACTAGATTTGTTGACATATAGATGCAGCAATTCCTGATGATACTGTTTTTGTAATATCTACTATAAAACCTTCTTTTTTGTTTCTCAACTCATGAAGTCTTCTCCTTCCTTTTTGTTGGTTGAGCAGATCTATGGATTATCTAATTTTTTTTAATTGTCAAACTAGCACTTTACCTCACTGATCCTTTGTACATTACCTTGACTTCAAGTCTGTTCACTTTTTATCTATTTTTTGATTATTTATTTCCTTCTTCTAATTTTGAGTTTGGTTTTTCTTGTCACTTTGAGTCTTTGAGATATACTGTTAGATCACTTATGGGTCTTTACTTAATGTATGCACCAAATACTATAAACTTCCCTTTCAACACTATTTTTTTTTCTTGCAGGGGAGGTCCTCAGGTAGGTAATTTTCTGGAACTGGTCATTTATAGGTATTTTAAAGGGGTCAGGATCGGCCCAGCACGGTGGCTTAGCGGCTAAAGTCGTCTTCTCAAAAGTGCCAGGATCCCACATGGGTGATGGTTTATATCCCGGCAGCTCTGCTTCCCATCCAGCTCCTTGCTTATGGCCTGTGAAGGCAGTCGAGGACGGCACAAGGCCTTGGGACCCTACACCCGTATGGGAG